TAACTGGCAGCTTGTTTATAGTACACTTAGGAAAAGTAAGCTGCTATGGCAATCACAGTTATTTTTGTCCAGTTATATCCCCATTGCTGAGTTCAGAGCCTGGCCCTAATGTGCTCAGTGAATATTCACTTGACTGAAGGGTCATCTGTTAGCTTAGGAGTGTTCATAGACCTAAATGTTAGTTAGACTTAAATTAACTAAGCCTGGTCCTTCATTATGAAATTTAAGAATAAAATTTCAACGTTCTTATGGAAATTCAAAGACATCATCATATTTCAGCAAATTCATTCATACTTCCTCTATTCCTTTTACCCAAAAAGTCATCCACTCCTGACTTCATCTTGCTGATTTCTTGAACTGCAAGCACTGCCCCACTGTATGCAGTGGTCTATGGGGTCGGCCTCACTTTCACCTTCCCCTACATCTGCTCACTTCCAAGGCTAGTGGTACTTAACTGGGTCATGTTGCCTTTGGACCCTCAAGGACAGAATTGCCAGATGCCCCACTGTCTGGAGGAAGTGTTCCATTCCAACCCCAAGTAAAGATCTGCTTTTTTTCCTATTCAGCTGCCCACCAAGGATATAATCTGTTGAGAATGGTCGGAGGGTAGGGGTTTATTTGGTATATATTTTTACATTAAAATGCATTTAATTATATAAAACCTAGATGAATGTAAATGTGCCTACAACTTCCTCCTTTAATTTTTCCAGTTACTATTAGTCTTACATTTTCTTTCTCCCTTCATTTCATGAAGTCCCTTGAGAAGACTTCAGTAGTAAAGAAGAATTTTCATTCGTCTTGCAACTCTTTCAAACTAAGAAACTTAATGAAATATTTCCTAGCTTCTAGATAGGAGATATAAAACTTGGGATCAGATGGAATCTTGATTCACTAACCAATTTAAGACCTAATTTATAACTTTGGAATTTTGGTTTATGAACTCTCCATTTTACACTTGTGTCTAGTTAAATGTTTCCTTATTTATCCAGCAAGCATTTATCAAGTTAAACATGTGCCAGACACTGAAGTAGTTACAAATATGTAAGGATTTTAGGGTGGATGTTGATGATGGTATACAAGCTGTCATCTTATTGGATTTGTCAGCTCTGATAGAGATATTGTTCAGATTTGGCAACATTTAATTACACTGAAATGGAGAAAGGAAGACATGCCCAGAGAGGGCTTTAAAGCAAGTGTATTAATAGCATAGACAGAGACATCAACCTGTGAGCATCTCTTCACAGAACTGTGCACAACGGTGTACACAAAAGGATGTGTACAGCAGAATGGCATCCATAGAGGACTAGTTTTAAAAAGAATAACACATCCATGCTACAGAATATCATGTAGCTGTTAGTAAGAATAAGGTAATGTGGCAGTGCAGTAATATGGAATGATCTCTAAAACATACTAAGAATTGGGGTAGAGGGGATAGTTAGAAGGAATTTGGCTTTTCTATTGTAGATACTCCCATGTGAAATTTTCACAACGGACATGCACTGGTGTATTTTGAAATTTTGTAATTAAAATTTTTAATTTCAAAATAAAGAGATGGAAATAAATTCAAACTGCAAGATATCTGTGTCACATTTACTGGAATACGTTGTAGCCTCCATTTTGTAGCTTCACCTCCAGGGGCACTTGTGGATCGTCATGGTCACAAGAAGAAGCCCAATGAGTGAATGCTTTTCTGCACAGGGCTGTCTTTGTTTCATCATGGAGTGCCTTGTCATCATCCAGCAATATGATTGGTTCTCAGCCTCTCTTTGGGACACAGTATGTGGTTCATAGTTTTGAAAGAATTAGAGGAATGGTTTTAGCATTATAGTTGCAAAGATAAGTCAGTTTTTTGGATTTACTCTGTTCTTTACCAGGGAGCTCAGAGAACCTAAGGAGGAAGACATTATATTACATTAATGTAATTAAAATAAGACATTACATTAAACTCAGAATAAAACACCTGAATTCTGGGAAATGGCTAAAGTGTGTTGGTGACAAAAACTTAAGGAAAACTAGTTCTGCCAATTCAGAAAATGTTACTGGCTACATAAGGTAGTGGTAAGATCTGTTTAAGTTGAATTGCCAAGGTCAGAAAAGATTATCTTTGGGAGGTTATGAAATCATAACCCTGTTTGAAAGGTTCTGTTTTATTAAAGTACTATTTATATGGCTTGAAACACTAATATCCTAGGCAACAAAGGGTTAGATGTCTTAGTTGGGTGGGCATATTATGAATTAGATGCAGTAAGTGGAGCATTGCATTGGAGTAGAGATGTTGCAATCTTGGATGTTTAATTATTTGGACCTCTAAGTTATAACTGTAGAGTGGTAGGAAATTATCAGCAGAGATTACCTCCTTTCCCCTTACCACATTAATTAGAAACCTACGCTGCTCTGAAATGTCTTCAACAGTGGCCTTTTATTGAAATATACTCAAATTACACAATACATTTTGTAAGACAAGCCTAAAATATATTAATTTTTATTCATGAAATAGTGAAGTGAAAAACCTTTAATATTTTAATAAAAATCTTGATATATGGTTTTGACTCATTTCATAACTTTAAGAACTGATTTTTATTACTGCATTACATAGTCTGGAAGATAATAGTATGTCTTTATGTTTTAGACAATTCAGAGACTTCTGCTTTCAAACCCATGCTCAATGATATATGCACATTATAATGACCACAGAACTCTAAACTGAGCTATTTTTTGTTTTTGAGACAGAGTCTCACTTTGTTGACCAGGCTAGAGTGAGTGCCGTGGCGTCAGCCTAGCTCACAGCAACCTCAAACTCATGGGCTCAAACGATCCTACTGCCTCAGTCTCCCGAGTAGCTGGGACTACAGGCACGCACCACCATGTCTGGCTAATATTTTCTATATATATATTAGTTGGCTAATTAATTTCTTTCTATTTATGGTAGAGACTGAGTCTTGCCCTTGCTTAGGCTGGTTTTGAACTCCTGACCTTGAGTGATCCGCCCACCTCAGCCTCCCAGAGTGCTAGGATTACAGGCGTGAGCCACCTCGCCTGGCCTGTTTTTTTGAGACAAGGTCTCACTCTGTTGCCCAGGCTAGAGTGCAATGGTGTCATCATAGCTCACTGCAACCTCCAACTCCTGGGCTCAACTGATCTTTCTGCCTCAGCCTCCTGAGTAGCTGAGACAGAGTAGCCACCACACCCAGCTAATTTTTTCTATTTTTAGTAGAGATGAGCTCTTGCTTTTGCTCAGGCTGGTCTGGAACTCCTGAGCTCAAGCGATCTTCTCACCTCGGCCTCCCAGAGTGTTAGGATTACAGACATGAGCCACCGCGCCCGGCTCCCTAAAGCGAGCATTTTGTGACATCTCTTTGGAAAAGTGGGCAATGGCCTTACATGCTTTATTACGGAGTATCAGGAAGGCACGAGAATCTTATTTCAGAACCATGTGTGGTAGCCAGCCTCCAAGTGCCTGCCTGCCTCCTGGTATTCCCACCCTCATATTGTCCTCCCACAGTGTACCAGGGTCTGTCTGTCTGTCTGAACACAGCACAAGTGATGGTATGTCACTTCCAAGATTAAGCTATAAAAGACTAGGACTGCCATCTTAGGCTCTCTCTTGGAGCACCACTCTAGGGGAAGCCATGTGTCACGAGCAGCCCTATGGAGAGGCCTGGATGACAAGGAACTGAAGCCTCCTGCAAAAACTATGAGGAGCTTGGGAGTGGATCGGCAGCTCCAGCTGACAGCTGAATCCCTAAACTAGAAGCACCCCACTAAGTCACTCCCAGATTCCTGACCCTCAGAAATTGTGAGAATTGTTGTCTTAAGCTGTTAAGTTCTAGTGTGATTTGTTACACAGCAATAGATAACTATATACTTCCCCATAGTCTGGTTTGTCGGCCCCCCCATACAGAATGTGAAACACAGAGACTGCCCACAAAGAGGACTTCTGCTTAGATACCACAAAAACTAAAGGGGAATCTTCCAGAGTTCTACTAATGTTGTGACTGTATCCAAGAGCTGATGTCTTCAGAACCTTTCAGATAGTTATTTGCCATTTCTTTGCATTTGAAATATTTATCAAAAGCTAGGTTTAAGCACTTCTAAAGACAAACGTTGGGGTCCCCCAGTAACCACTCTGGAACATCCTGCATCCTCCAGAGGCAAGAGTAGGGGGGAAATTGAGTCAAATCCTAGAGGGCAGTCTCTGCTGTGGAGGTAATGGCCTCATTCCACTGCCCCCCCCTTCTCACGCTCCATGGTTTAAGAAAAGTCAGTAGCACCCACAGGATCCCTAGGGGATATTCCTGGCTACTGCTATTCACCAGACCCTCAGCCCCCGCCCCCGCCCCCGCCCCCAACCCCAGCTAGCATTCAACACATAGTGATTGGTTAACCAGTTTTACAAAGTGTCATTTCCCCCATTTATAAGGATAAGGAAAGGAGTAAAGAATGATTTTGTTGTTTTTACTTTCTATATACCCAGAATCCAGGGTTGACAGTAACCGTCCTCGGAGTTGTTTATCCTGTCTCCATGGCAGATTCTGTAACTGCTCTCAGTCACCAAGAGATTCCAGGTTCTCTTAGTACTTAAATCCAGTTTAATTTCACCATATTCATTTTATTTATTTTTATTTTTTTCGTGAGATCTAATGCTCTTTGATACCATATTCATTTTAAACCCACCTCGAAACATTTCCCTCAGTAGGAATAAGCCCCCAGACCTTTTTTGATGTAGAGATATGTGATTGTACCAAGCTTTAAGTCATGTGTGATACTAAGCACTCTTATTTAACCAGGACACACAAAACAATAAAAACACATTCCCAAGAGAGTTTTTAAACCAAGCTACAAGTTTGTGAATAATTTGAAGTGTTTTTCATGTAAAGTCTTCCTCACCCATATAAATTAGCACTCAAGTTGCAGATCCCGTGAAGAGGAAGACCAGTCAATCTACTCTCACCTTCTAAACATTTTGTTTCCAGTTCACAGAATAGGCAACACTCAACTGCTTAGTTCAACACTCATTTTATTAAGCAAACTGCAGGTTTAAATCAGATTCGCACTGTTTCAGTGTCAAAACCAAAGTCTTTGTTGGATTTTCTTCAGGAGTGATAGTTCAGTGCTTGCAAGCTGCAAAGATTCGGTCAGGCCCTCTCAGCCATTAACAAACTCGTGTGGGGCAGTGCCCAGTGGGGCAGCCGCAGGTGGTAGCTGGAGGATCGTAGACTTCGGCGGCGGTGTTGCCGCCATTGCCGCCATTGCCACCGTTGCCACCGTTGCTGCCGCTGCCGTTGCCGTTGCCGCCGCTGCCGCTGCCGCTGCCGCTGGCGCTGCTGCTGCCGCTGCCACTGCCCCCGATGCCGCCGCCGTAGTGGTAGCGTACATAGCGGCTCGCCTGAATGCTCTGCGCCACAACGTTGGAGGCATGGCAAGCCATCAGCAGGAGGTTTCGAGGCTGTACGCGGTAGGCGAAGCGCATGAAGGCCATGGAGTACAAGATGAGCGCTGTTGTCATGCGGCCGCTGATGATGTCCGGCGGCCTCTTCATGTCATTAAAGGCGGCCATAGGAAGGCCCCAGTTGGCCACAGGACCCCAGAAGTGCGTGCTGGTTAGATATTCCCGGAACTCCGGGGTCTTCACATAATCTCTAGTCTTCCGCCACAGCGCTGCCACTCCTGCCATGATGGCCGAGCTGTTTGGGCGCCAACGGACGAAGAGCCAGTCCACAACTTGGAGTGTGGAGCCCCTAACCTGTGGCTGACTCCGACGCAGCGTCCGCCCGCGGCCTCGCGCCTCCGTAAAGTGTGACACCACGCGTTCTGCCGTCGTGAGTGTGCTTGTGACGTCAGAAGGGCGTGGCTTCACGCTCCCGCCTTTGTGGGACTGCCGTAAAGTGCATCACACTGCACGTGCTGATGTCGTTTGTCCTGTGAAGAGCGAGGCGCGGCCTCGCCCTTGTGCCTTCACGCCTTCCATGGACTACCGTAAAGTGCGTAGAGGGTGCATGGGTTAGTGTGTCTGTTCCCCTAGCAAAAGTGGAACCACGGCCTTGCCCTTCGTTCCACTGTGCTGCAGCCACCTTAAAGTGCCCAGGACTCCACGTGCTACCCAGGAAGGTGAAGGTCCAGCTTCCTGCTTCTCCTCAGCAGTGTGGAAGGGAGATTTGCTTGTTTTTTTCAGTCTCCAGACAGTGTTGTCTAGATGCTGATACAAAATTCTTCAACCAGGTATAGAATTTTAGTCATTACACAATTTATCTGAATGTTATTTGCACACATAGTGACATTTCACCCCTAAACATTTTAACATCTGTTTCTTAGGAACAAGGATGTTCTCATACTTAACTACAGTGTGATAAGCCACTTAGGTAATTAACATTTAGTTCACCATTTTTTTATGGCTGAGTAGTACTCCATGGAGGGGGAAGTAGGGGATGGGTAAATTCACACCTAACGGGTACAGTGCACACTATCTGGGTGATGGACACTTATAACTTTGACTCAAACTGTACAAAAGCAATTCATGTAACCAAAACGTTTGTACTACTGTAATATTCTGAAATTTTAAAAAATTTAGTACAGCACTATTATCTAATATGTAGTGTACATTTAAATTTTATAGTTTTATGGCTGTTTTTTTCTTTCTTGTTTTGGGGGGAGAGATCCAGGATCCAGTCAAAGTTCACATATAAGTAACTTCTTCAATCTAGAAATTACCCAGCTTTTTTATTTGTCTTTTGTGACATTGACATTTTTGAAAAATCCAAGCCAGTGATTTTTCAGAATGTCCTTAATTTGGATGTGTCTGACTGTTTTCTCATAATTGGATTTAGGTTACACATTTTTTTTTTTGGCAAAACAACTACACAGGTGATGTTGTGTTATTAGTGCATCACGGTGGGAGGCATGTGATACCACCTTGTTCCATCATTGATGATACTAAGTTTGATCACTTGGTTAGGGAGTTGTTGGCCAGGTTTCTCCATTTTGAAGGTAACTTTTCCTCTCTGTACTCAACAAATGATCCAGGGGAAGCCTCTTGAAAAGTGTATAGATATTCTATTCTCCAGCGGTTTTTCACCTAATAGTTTTAATGTCTGTCCATTGATAAAAATTCTTTAATAACAAAACTGGCTATTTTTTTAGTGTTTTCTACTTTTTCCATTAAAAATAGTAATTCTTGAGAAGTAATTAAATACACATTGAAATATTGTTAATACTTTAGAAATTTACACATAAGCCTACTCTATCTTAAATTTTTTTTCATTTCCCTGCTCTTTTCTTTTAATTTCAAAATATCAGTTAAAGGGGTACAAGTGTTTTTGTTACATGGAATATGAAATAATGCTTAAGTCAAGGCTACCTTTAAAATTAATACTCGGCCAGGCGTGGTAGCTCACACTTGTAATCTTAGCACTCTGGGAGGCCAAGGTGGGAGGATCACCAGAGGTCAGGAGTTCAAGACCAGCCTAAGTAAGAGCGAGACCCCCGTCTCTACTAAAAATAGAAAGAAATTAATTGGCCAACTAAAAATATATAGAAAAAATTAGCTGGGCATGGTGGCGCATGCCTGTAGTACCAGCTACTCGGGAGGCTGAGGCAGAAGGATTGCTTGAGCCCAGGAGTTTGAGGTTGCTGTGAGCAAGGCGGATGCCATGGCATTCTAGCCAGGGCAACAGAGTGAGACTCTGTCTCAAATAAATAAATAAAATTAATATTCATTATCTGTGGTTATTTACATGTGAAATATTTTGCAAATATAGTTTAGAAATAGCCATTGCTCAAAAGGAAAGTAGCATAATTTTTAGATTACCCTTTTAAAATGCTGGGTTTCCAAATATGAATGGTATAATTCAGTTTAGCATAAATTAGAATTAATAAATTGGCAAGCATGTATTGAATGACAGTTTAGGCCTACACTGCAAGATGTTCCAGCATCCTAAAAGAAATAGAAGCTACTACTCCTTGTTCACAAGAAGCTTTCAGTACTTGTACATCATCTTACATAGGTGGTTACTTGGTTTCCAGAACCTATTGCTGGATAACAAATCACCCCAAAACTTAGCAACTTAAAACAACAGCAACTTTTGTTTTACAGATTTGCAGTTTGAGCATGACTTGATGGGAATAGCTCATTTGCTCCATGTATCACCAGTGGGGATGGTTTAGCTTTGAGCTGGGGGTCCACTTTCAAAATCACTCACATGGCAAGGTGATGCTGAGTATTTGGCTGGGAGCTCAGCTGGGGCTGTTGGCCAAGAGAGGTGGGGGCTCAGTTTTTCTCAACTGTGGATGGGCAGCTCCACAGGCTGCTTGGGCTTCTTGACAGCATGGTGGCTGAGTTCCAAGAATAAGCATAGCAAGAAAATGGAGCAGAAGCTATGTGGTAGACAGAATTCTAAGATGACCCCAATGACCCACACCCTTGTATAACCTCCTCTTGAGTATAGGCAGAGTATATGAATATCATTAGATATTACTCCCATGATTATATGACAAAAGGGATTTTGCACATGTAAAATGTGCAAAAGTAATTACGGTTTTAGCATTGTTGAAATTTGCCATTTGATACTAGAATACATTCTTAAATGTTATACATCATTTTAATGTGCATTTCTCACTTTATGTTTTTTTGCTAATGACTTATACTTGCTGTTTATATTTATTTTAGACTACGGAAATGATGTTAGACAACAAGCAAAGTCAAGTGATTTTCTTAGGTGAGTTCAAATGAGTCGTAAAGCAGGGGAGACAACTTGCAACATCAACAACACATTTGGCCCAGGAGCTGCTAACGAATGTACAGTGCAGTGATGGTTCAAGAAGTTTTGCAAAGGAAACAAGAGCCTTGAAGATGAAGAGTGCAGTGGCCAGCCATCAGAAGTTGACAACAGCCAGTTGAGAGCAATCATCGATGCTGATCCTCTTACAGCTACACGAGGAATTGCCAGAATAACTCAACGTCAACCATTCTACGGTCATTCGGCATTTGAAGCAAATTGGAAAGGTGAAAAAACTCAATGAGTGGGTGCCTCATGAGCTGACTAAAAGTCAAAAATATCGTAGTTTTGAAGTGTCATCTTCTTATACACAACAACGAACCATTTCTCAATTGAATTGTGATGTGCTATGAAAAGTAGATTTTATATGACAACCAGTGATGACCAGCTCAGTGGTTGGACCAAGAAGCAGCTCCAAAGCACTTCCCAAAGCCAAACTTGCACTGAAAAAAGATCACGGTCACTGTTTGGTTGTCTGCTGCTGGTCTGATCCACTACAGCTTTCTGAAACATTCTTTGAAACATTCTATCTGAGAAGTATGCTCAGCAAATCGATGAGAGATCCACTAAAAACTGCAACGCCTGCAGCCGGCATTGGTCAAAAGAAAAGGCCAAATTCTCCATGACAATGCCCTACCTCACATCACATGAACGAATTGGGCTATGCAGTTTTGCTTCATCCACCATATTCACCTGACCTCTTACCAACTGACTACCACTTCTTCAAGCATCTCGACAACTTTTTGCAGGGAAAACACTTCCACGACCAGCAAGATGCAGAAAATGCTTTCTAAGAGTTCGTTGAATCCCAAAGCATAGATTTTTATGCTACAGGAATAAACAAACTAATTTCTTGTTGGCAAAAATGTGTTGATTGTAATGATTCCTATTTTGATTAATAAAGATGTATTTGAGCCTAGTTATAATGATTTAAAATTCACAGTCTGAAACCACAATTACTTTTGTACCAACCTAATAACTAAGATGGCAAATCAGTTGACTGTAAGATAGGGAGATTCCCCAAGTGGGCCTGACCAAATCACATGAGCCATTTAAATCTGGGTCTAGAAGTCAAAGAGGAATTAAGAGATTCAAAGCATGAGGAGGATTTGATGTGAGGGGTATTCTCCAAAGCTGGCTTTGAATGTGAAAGTGGCTATGTGGCAAGGAATGCAGGCAGCCTCTAGCTGACAGCCAGCAAGGGAACAGGGACCTCAGTCTAAGGACCATAAAGAACTGAATTCCATTAATGTCATGAGCTTGGAAGCTGATTTCCCCGCAACTCTCTAAGAACTTAGTCCAGCTAGCACCTTCATTTCAGCCTTGTGAGACCCTGAGCAGAAAGAACCCAGTCATGAAGTGCCCGGAATTCTGACCCCCAGAACCACAAAGTAATAAATGGGTATTGTAGGCTGGGCGCGGTGGCTCACACCTGTAATCCTAGCACTCTGGGAGACTGAGGCGGGCGGATTGCTCAAGGTCAGGAGTTCGAAACCAGCCTGAGCAAGAGACCCCGTCTCTACTATAAGTAGAAAGAAATTAATTGGCCAACTAATATATATAGAAAAAATTAGCGGGGCATGGTGGCGCATGCCTGTAGTCCCAGCTACTTGGGAGGCTGAGGCAGAAGGATTGCTTGGGCACAGGAGTTTGAGGTTGTGGGCTAGGCTGACGCCATGGCACTCACTCTAGCCTGGGCAATAAAGCAAGACTCTGTCTCAAAAAAAAAAAAAAAATGGGTATTGTTTTAAGCCACTGAATTTGTGGCTATTTGTTGCACAGAAATAGAAAATAATATAAACTATATTGGTTTTTATGGACCTAGCCTCAGAAGTCACACCACATCACTTTCTTCATAGTCACAAGCCCACCCAAATTCAATGGGAGGGGACATAGACTCAGTTCTCAAAGGCTGGAGTGTCAAAGGCACACTTCAAGAAGAGCATATAAGCTGGGTGCATTGGTGTATGTCTGCAGTTCCAGCTATTTGGGAGGCTGAAGAAGGAAGATCACTTGAGCCCAGGAGTTCGAGGCCAGCCTGGGCCAGTCCACATAGCAATA